AATAGAATAAAATAATTGCAATAAACAGATTATTCAATAAAGAGGTGATAAGAAATGTAAAAGAATAAAACATTATAATTACAATTTTAACTACTAGTAAAAGATATAATGAATAATGACATGAAATATCTAATAAAATAGGGAGGAGATAATAGAGGAGAATATAGAAATATAAAAGTACATCATAAACAATAATTTTAAGAGAGTGAATGAAATAATCTCAAATAAGCTGAATAAAGTAGAAAATCAATATATACTGAAACTTAATTTCTTAATTTTTTATTCGTTAATTTATTATATTTTCTCGCATTTTAGAATCACTTTGTGTCATCTTGCGATATTTCTTTTATCAACTGGAATTAAATTTCAAGTACTTACAAACAGCCAAAATTCATTTTTAACGGTATAAAAAAATAAAAATATAATGAGTTATTTTTAACATTTTACAAAAGTTAAAAAAGATACAATTTTAATGTAATACGATAATAAAAACTACCAAAAAATAAGAAAAAAATAATAATAACCTGTAAATTCCAATGTAAATGAAATTCAACAATGAGAGTTTCATTTAATGAAAAATACAAAAAAAACTTAAAATAAAAGAAATAAAGCTAAAAAAATAATCATGTTTCAATCAGATACTGAAAAAGAGTTTGAATTCTTTACTCAACAACTCACAAACAAAGAAAGAGATTGTACCTCAGTTAAAAATGAAGAACATATAGAGAGTAGTATTGAAGATACACCCAAAGAGATAAATCATCCATTAAATAAAAAAGGTTGTATTCCAACTAATACTACAAACCAAAGAAACCACATAAGAAGGGTCATTAGCCAATCATATTTTCTTGAATATATACATTCACTTCTTGGCAATACATGTGTCAATTGTGATAGGCATATTTCTAATAGTTCCAGAAAGATAGTGAATGGACATACTGTTATTTTACAGGAGTTTCAAAAAAAGGGGGATTCAATTATTAATGTTGATGAAATTATCCAATACCAATTTGGATATAGACGATTAAGTGCTTATGAAAAAGGGGGATGGACTTTTAATTTCCTGAAAGACTCTCTATCTTTTTATGGATTTGAAATTCATGAGAAGAAAATTAAGAAAGGATGTTATAAGTCACAATCCTTAAAAGGGACTTTGATTACCTCAATAACCATCCCCGATAAATACATTAGTCTTTTAATGAAAGCAGGTATTAATGTTTTCGGTTCCAGAATTTCTGATCAACAAATTGATCAGATTGTACAACAGTTACGTCTTGGTTATGAGAATAATCAACTTAATCAAAGAGGGAATTAAATTTCTTCGTTTTGAATTGGAAGTTTATTTCGTTTGATAAAATAATACATAAAATATAATGTCAATGAAACGAAAATAAATAAATTATTTTATATTCTTTGTAGTGACTATCAAGGGAATGACTCATTAAGAAACACATGAGAAAAAGTATAAATCAGTCATAACAAAAGAAGAAATAGATATTAAAAAATATGTAGATGATAGAAGAATGAGTGAAAAGAGGGATTATTTGTGTTGATAGAAATACAATACCTAACATAAGAACTATTCTCATAACAGTTGCAGCATTGATTGTATGAACCATTTCACTCATCACCTCAATCATATTCATTATCATATATATTTAAACAATAATTCAAGTAGAATTAAATAGCATTATCATAATAGAAATATATCAAATAATAAAACAAGAAGAAGATGTAAAGAAAGGTGTATAGAATGTCAAAATAGAAAGAAAAAAGAGAAAGAAATTGAATAAATAAAAAGAATGAAGAAGTGATTTTTGAAGAAGAAAATGAATGAATTAATGAATTGAATAGAAATAAATGAAACATAATATAAACAATTGATTTTGATTGAACAAAAACTGAAGAAAGAATAAATGCAGATAATATTTAATGATATAAAAAGAATGCAAACAGATGGAGATTATTAAATTAAAATGAAATAGACTTCTCTAAGGAGTAAAACAATAATCATGAGATGAAATATTGAATCTACGATACTCAAAATAAATAGTTCAAATATTGGAAATATTGTTCTAATGCTATTTTGTCTATTATTCATTTTGATATGATAGAATGAAGAAAAAAACAAATAAGAAAAAATAAATATTAAAGAAATAGAGCTTTATATTAATTATTTGTTTCAAAAAATTTAATTTATTGGTTTTAATATTCATCCTAATTGTATGAGTAATGCCAAAAATTGTATAACTTCAAATAATGATATAATGAAGATTGTTTCATGAGAGAAGATAAGATTGAGAAGACTAAAATAATTCAGATAAGAAATGGGATAATAATGGTGTTGATATGAGTATTATAGGGATATAAAAAGAAAATATATTTACAAAATAAATACATAAATAGAAAGAATTACAAGAGAAATTCAAAAATAGAGAAATATTAAAAGTAAAATAAACACTGTAATATTAACAAATGAGTAATACAAAAAAAGAAATAATACGAAGAAGACACTTATCAGAATACAAACATTATTCCAAAAGATATTACAAAAAATTATAAAAAAAACATGAAAGAACTAATGTCTAATACATTCAATTCATGTAGGACATTAAAAGAGTATGAATATTATAACATGATAAGATTAAAAATTGATAGTTTGATAGAAATTAAATAATGAAATCAAATAAATAAACAGTTAATGATATTCATGAAATTTAAATGAAGATATATCTTAATACATAGACTTTTTATATAACGTAATAATAAAGATAAAAATAAAAGGAAAGAAACAATAATGAATTTTATAAATATAATTACATTTTGTTATTATTTTTATTAAAAATATAATATAATCAATTTCAAAAAATAGAACGGAATAAAATACCGAAAAGTACTAACTAGAAAGAAAAGGAAGGTTTGTAGGTAATTGATATGGTAAGAAATTAATTGATATATATTTATTGTATAATTCAAAATTCTTTTTAGAGTTGGTAAAATGTTCAATTATTTAGTTATACCACTAACACTTAATAAAAATAATTTTGAATATTTATTATCAATTTAACAATAACAAAATAATTAAATGAATTAAAATGTATTTAATAAATTAAATATTTATTTAACATTTTCATTTTTTTTGTCTACAAGTTGTTTCCATATTTAATTTTTTAAGGTTTATTTCTTAATTGAAATGAAAAAGAAGACATTTTTTTAAAAGAATTGAAGAAAATGGCAAGCAATGAGTAATTCAAAATAAAAATAAATAAATATGTTTCTTTGAAAAAAATATAAATTATTGGTTAAATTAATAAAGAAGATGTTTTTAATATGTTTAATGTAAAAAAATAAAGAAAAAATCGAAACAAGAATAGAAAATATAAAAATGATGTTTTATATGTTTTAAAAGATATAAAACATGAACCATTTAAAAAATAAAAGGTAATAAATAAAATGATATAAGAAGAATTTAATTATATCTTTAAAAATATATTATCAGGTGATGTCTTTTAATACTATTACAAATAATTCATTTACATTAAAAAATATATCACAAACTATTTCAAATGTAATTAAAATACAATTATTTTGGGTAATAATAACAATGTTAAGTGGAATATCTTTAATGTTTATTACAACTTTTTTGTATACACTTCAAAAGTCACTGTACTATTTTATTTTATTAGTTTATATAATGTATATTTTATTCTTTTTACTAATATTTAGATTTGTTGATGTTTTTATCAAAACAAGAGGTAATCTATTAAAATTACTATTTGAAAATGATGTTAGTACAACAAATAGCCAAAGAAATGACCAACAAAAAAATAATGAAAAAAAGGATAAAGAAAATTATATAATGAGAAAATTTGATGATTATTTTGGTATTGCAGTATTATTTAGTTCATTTGTTGCTGGTATTTTTTATAGTTGTAATTATAAAAAGAAAAATGGAAAAATAAGTATTAGTAGTACTATTTGTTATTGTTATTTATGTATTGGATGTACCATAATATGTGGAATTTATTTTGTATGGGTTATATTCAATCAAAAAAGGATATTATCAAATATAGACAAGAAAAATAAAATTAAATCAATAATATATTATGTATTATCTTGGATACCATTTTTCAATTTATTTATTACATTAAATAAAAGTCTTGAATGTAATAATAAAACAATTAAATATACTGTTACATTTGTTTTATTAATACTGATAGTATTTCCTTTTTGCTATTTTATCTACTACTTATTTAGTATTACCAATGACGCATCTGAAGGAGGGAAAGATATGATTCCTTATTGGGTATTATTTATTCTTTCTTTTAGTCCACACGATTTAAATAGAACCCAAGAAAATGTTACTCAAGAAGAGAATGAAAGTAATGAGAATAAAATTAAACAAGATGAACAAAAAACTGAAGAAAGTAAATTCCGACAAAGGAATGAAATACAAAAAAGAGATAATCAAGAATGTAGTCAAAGTAATATGAATAAAAACAAAGAAATAAATAGAATACTTCAACGTTCATACCTTTTAATTATCATTGTTATACTTGCTATTTTTGTAATTATTTACATTCTTAGTTTTATTACTGCTTATTTGAAAATATCTTTAAATAATGGTATTGAACATCAAGAAAATATGGAAAACAGCATTTTAAGTAACATTGACAATAAAGAAAGTCATACGTATGAAATATATAATGGAGTAGTATATAATAATTCATTTATTAATAAAACAAAAATACTTGAACAAGAAAGTCAACAAATAGAATCACCATCGAGAGATGATGTTAGAAGTTATTCTCATCTTTGTGCTAAAGACCCTTATGGTATTACACCAAAAGAGTATGCATGTTTAAGTTATTTAGCGTATTCAAATCAATTAAATGAATCATATGAATATGAAATAATTTCAGTATATCTCCAAGAAAAAGGTTGGTCAATTAAATTTCATGATGAAGAATTTCTTCATTATTTGGTATCAATTAATACTAAAAAAGGAGTTAAAGTAATTGCATTTAGAGGTACAAATTCAGTTTCTGATATACTAAGTGATATTCAATTATTTACAGAGTCAGTGATTCCACAAATTTCTGTTATAATAACTCAAATATTTACAAAACAAAGTATGACAAAATTAAGTAATTTTCTCTCATTTTTTGGATCAAAGGCTTTACCAAACAATCCTTTCTATTTAGTTACAATTGCAAAGAAAATAGTTGAAAGACATCAAAAAATGGAACCAAAATTACCAATTGCACTTACTGGACATTCCCTTGGAGGAGGAATTGCAAATATTGTTGGAAGTAATATGAGTTTATTGAGTTTTGGAATATCACCTCCTGGTATTTATTTAGGTAGAAAGGGTCATGAATTGAGGCAAAAAAATATTAATTTATATACTCGATCTATTATACCTGATAGAGATATTATTGCATTACTTGGAATAAACGGAGGTTCTCAAATAACACTCCCTTGTTACGAACATTTCTGGAATTGTCATGGAATTGATACTTCTCTTTGTTCAATTGGAGCATTGTGTCATGAAAAAGAATTACTTCCTTTATGTTTGCAGAAATGGATCAACTGGGGATTTAATGTCTCTGAATGGTAATTGAAATAATTATTACACATATATTTATTATATTCAGAATAGTTACTGAATGAGGTTTAATGTAGTATTGATGTTTTTTATAATAAAGAAAGAAAAAACCAAGAATGAGTAGATAAATAAACTCATTAAATTATCCAATTATAGTAACACTTATATTCAGGAATTAAAAAATTCTTCTTTTCTTGATTCATTATTTTATATAGCTTATGCTCATTTTTATTTGATATTATGATGGCTCACTAAAAATCATAAAATATTATTTTGGTTAAAACACTTAAGTTAAAATCGAGAATAGTAATAAGAATAAAAATTTCAAATAATGAAAATTCATTTTGTTGTTATGATTATTAAGTTTATTTATTCCATTTTCATTAGTGTGTGTTTTGTTGTGTATTTGTTAGTATGAATTAATTATTGTTTTTCTTCTTTTCTTTTATCAGTTTTGTTTGTGTAAAACATTAAGTATTTCATGTTTTTGTTGATTATTGTTTGGAATGTTTTGTTTATTTGTAATTTATTGTTTTATTCTTCTTACTGTTTCATTGTTGATTATTTTATTATTATTACAATATTTGTTTTTACTTATTTTATTTTCTATTATTTCTTATTTTCTCTTATATTTCTATTTATTTTATGAATATAATTTAATTCCAAATTATTATCTTGACATATAACAACATCTACAATATCTTTTC